ACGGACCGTGGGCCGGGAAACGTGCGAGGGGTGCGCCGCAATGGGGCGGGGCCGCCACTGGGGCCTTCAGTGGAGCTCCCCATGCGGCCGAGAGGCGCTGTACTGGGTAAGGGAAACGCATGCGGGCACCGCCACTGGGGCTTTCGGTGGGGCTCGATATGGAGCCACGAAACGCTCTAGTGGGTGGGGGAAGCGCATGCGAAGACTGCCACAGGGGCCTTCGCTGGAGCTCCCTAGGGGGCCACGAAGCGCTGCACTGGGTGGAGGAAACGCATGCGAACACCGCTACTGGGGCCTTCGGTTGAGCTCTCTATGGGGCCACGAAAGGATGTACTGGGTGGGGGAGACGCATGCGAACAACGCAACTGGGGCCTTCGGGGGAGCTCTCCATGGAACGAACTTCCGTAGCCCAGTAGGGAGCTCCAGCGGAGGCCACATTGCATAGTTGATATGCCGTCCCCCTTCAACTTTCGTACACCACTCACACGCTTCGTGGCCCCATGGGGAGCTCCACCGAAAGCCCCAGTGGCATGGTCCGCATGCCGCCCCCCGTCTACTTTGGCACACCACTCACACGAAACGCAGCCCCACAAGGAGCTTCTTTTGAAAGCCCCAGTGGCATGGTTCGCATGCCGCCCCCCCTGCATTTTGGCACACCCCCCTACACGCCTCGCGGCCCCATAGGGAGCCCCCCCGAAGGCTCCAGTGGCATGGTTCGCATGCTGTCCCCCCCTCCACTTTGGCACACCCCTCACACGTTTCGTGGCCCCAAAGGGAGCTCCACAGAAGGCCCCAGTAGCTGTGTTCGCATGCGGTTCACTCACCCAGTACAGCGTTTCGTGGCCCCATAAAGGAGCTCCAGCGGAGGGCCCAGTGACGGTGTTCGCATACATCTTCTCCACCCAGTAGAACGCTTCGTTGCCCCATAGGCAGCTCCACCGAAAGCCCCACTTGACTTGTCCGCATGCGCTTCCCCCCCTAGTTCAATGTTTCGTGGCCCCCTAGGGAGCTCCAACGGAGGCCCCTGTGGCAGTCTTCGCATGCGCTTCCCCCACCCAGTGCAGCGCCTCGTGGCCCCATAGCTTCACCGGAGGCCCCAGTATACCCAGTACGTCGTTTTGCGGCCCCACAGAGCTCCACAGAAGGCCCCAGTGGCGGTGTTCGCATGCGTTTCCGTCACCCATTATAGCGTTTCGTGTGCGGGGTGTGCCAAAGTGGTGGGGGGGGCGGCATGCGAACCATGCCATTGGGGCCTTCGGTGGAGCTCCCTATGGAGCCACGAAGCGTGTGAGGGGTGTGCCACAGTTTTTTTTATTTTTTTGGGGGGGGGGGGCGGCATGCGAACCATGTCATCCAGGCCTTCGGTGGAGCTCCCGTTGGAGCCATGAAACGTGTGTGTGAGTGTGTGTGTGTGTGTGAGTGTGTGTGTGTGGGGGGGGGGCCAAAGTTGAGGGGGTGGGGCGGCATGCGAGCCATGCCACTGGGGCTTTCGGTGGAGCTCCCTTTGGGGCCACGAAACGTGTGTGTGGTTGGGGGCCAAAGTGGAGGGGGGGGGGCGGCATGCGAACCTTGCCACCCGGGCCTTCGGCGGAGCTCCCCTTGGGGCCACGAAACGTGTGGGGGGGGTGCCAATGTGGAGGTGGGGCGGGAAGCGAATCATGCCATTCGGACCTTCGGTGGAGCTCCCTATGGAGCCACGAAGCGTGTGAGAGGTGTGCCAAAGTGAAAGTGGGGGGGGAGGGGCGGCATGCGAACCATGTCCTTCGGGCCTTCGGTGGAGCTCCGTTTGGGGCCACGGCCAGGAAGCGCGCGGGGTGGGTGTGTTAAAGTGAGGGCCGAGGCAAGGCCAAGGGTTGGATGAGCGAGGAGCGGGAGAAGGAGGAGGAAGACAAGACGCGGGGATTCTCGGTTCAAAACGAGGACCCAGCAGCACAGGATGGTCGGGAAGCACGTGAGGATAATGAGGATGATGATGATGATGATGAGGAGGAGGAGGAGGAGGAGGAGGAGGA